TCACATTGCCGGCTCATGTCCAGCTTTTTGTCCATCTAGTCCAGGCTAGTTGATGCCCTTCCTGGGTCATCCCATAACCTTTTTTTTCGGGATGAAATAAGCAGGTCTGCTATGTGAGTCTGTCACTGTGAATTGCACAGGAGCTTCTCCGCCTGGAACAGGAGAGAGGGATTTTGTGGGAGGATGCTAGAGAATTAAGACCGCATGAGTTATTTTGTATGAGCCGCAGATGCGGAGGGAGCACATGCCCTTCCCCTCCATACTGACTGTGTCAGCTGGCATGGGCTTAAGAGATCAGTGAATCCTTAATGAATGTGGCCAGAAGAGGGCTTTGAGGCACTGAAAAAGAGCCTGGGATGACTCTCAAATGAAAAATACCAGCCACAATGTAATAGTCTTGGTGGTGGTTTGTTTTCTAACTCCTGGGTAGTTGTGTTTTGAAAACAAATAGCACAAACACTGCTAGATGAAGCTCTTTTACTTGGAGTTCATTTTAGAATCAAATTCAGCTGATGACATAGATGTTGATAACTCATAGGTTGGCTTAAGACTGTCCTTCAGAGGATGATTCTTTTGCCCTAAATATTCTCTTAAATCTGTTTTTTTAAAGTCACAAAATGATCCAGAGGCGTAAACTTTACTGGGATAGAACAGTCCATCCCAAGTCACTTCTTCCTGCAACGTGGAAAATTCAGCAGACTGTGTGCTCTGACAGCAAGTCCGTGCTACGGCAGTCAGCGTTCCCTGGCTCAGCCATCCATTAAACATTTTGTTCTGCCCCTCCACTTGCTATTCTCTCCCTTCCCTGGCTAGCTCTGAAAATAGACAAGTGTTTTTCACCTGGTGCCCTCATGCTTGGGCCCTCTGTATGAACCTGTTATTTTTTGGTTCAGCTTGATAATGGGGCTGTCCCTTTTCACTCTAAATCGCCGCCACAGGTTGTTTGCAATGATCGGGACTAGTTATATGACGAGCCCTATTGCTCTGCCGCAGCACAGCAGCCTGCTCCAAAGGATCTTACGAAAGAGCTTCCAGGTTGGATGCGCCTGTTGGGAGTTCAGCAG